AACAGAGCTTTCTATCTTTCTTCGGTAACCCTGTGACAAGTACTTTGTAGGTAATCCTTAAGGAACAAAAACATGACCTTTGAAGTGGGACCACGAATCTCTAGATTTCAATGCACAATCTCATCTGAGGTCAAACTGAGAATATTATAAATTGATGATTGACCTGCATAAGTATAATGTCTTCCATATTATCCGATCCACACCTCAAAGTTGCCCAGTGGGCCGAAAAGAAAAAGGGGAATTCAGAAAGCTCTCCTTTAACGTACAGGATTTTACGTGTCAAATTGTGGGGAAAATCTGACTCCGTGTGGACTTCCATTGTACATGTCACTCTTCTTCTGTAGGCTCAGCTCAAATGGCGTCAGGAGTTCCAGGAGCCGAAATAGCGTGGGGGCATGGATCCGATATTGACTCATACTGAGTGGAAGAAATCAGCACCAAAGTCTGGATGAGATCATTTGGTTGTGAGTGTTAGGGAAGTGACTGCTAATCACAGAGGAAAAGGGCAACCAATGTGTAAGTTTTATCTTACTGACTACCTATTGAGTTAAGATAGGTAGCATGAGATACACTTGAAATCTTGCTGATGGCTAAAGCATAACCATAGCCAGTTTTCAGAAAGAAAGTCTAGCTGAAAAGAAAAAAGAAAGTTTTCAGCCCCCCCGCTTTTAGTAATATTATTACACCTTGGCTCCTAGTGGCTTTGTAAAACTTTTAAAGGATATCTTGGTGGTGAATATTTCGGCAGTATCATTATGGGTAGAACCAGCAAAGTGTGAAACCTCTAGTTTGCATGTGTAACATGAGGTGTTTTACAGGCAGAAAAGAGAGAGAAATTTCTTTGTTTGCAAGTTGACAAGACAGGAAAAGATCACAAGGATATACCATTGTACTGACAACATTCTGAACTAAAGAATTGTATGTTCAAAAATGAAAACCTGACAGCAGATCTAGCCTGGGATGCAAGATTAGCTACATAATTTCAGGAACCAGTGCAACTGTGGGCTCTGTTAAAAAAAAATGATTAGGAATTCCAAGATGGTGACAATAGAGCATTAAATCAAATATGTTTTTTTTTTTTTTCCAAGTTCAGGGTCCTGACAGACTGTATAGTTTGCAAGCCCATGATGTTGTCTGCTGGGATGGTGACCCAAGAATTTCAAAACTTTATTCTCAGTCTTACTATTTTTTCAAAGAACTGAAGTGTGTCTACTGTCTCACAAATTCTGAGGGGAGAAATCCTAGAAAAAAGCTTAAATTTAATTATTTGAACTCAGGTATCTAGCATAACTAGAGGCACATTCAATAACTTATTGGATATGAATTTAAACACATCACTTTGTTTCTCTGGGTCTTGATTTATAGATCTAAAACATGTACAGATAGACAGTCTCAATAATTCCATAATTTTGTGCTTAGTATTACCACCAAGAATCATTAGAGTTTGATTTTAGCCATGTAGTTACCATCTCTAAGCATTGGGTCATATCATAAACATATTCTCAGTATATATTTATAATTTTGAATAGGCATTCTCAATTTACAAATGCTAGGGCTGCATATAATTCTCTATTATAGATCCCACTATTCTTTACTCCTCTCTCCCAACACTACATTACAGTGGATGAATCAAGAAATAGATAGAATTATTTTTTATCCCTTTCAGAAAGTTTGGAATATTCTTTCCGTAACTCAGCATTTTCTAATTGATTACCTGGAAGGTACTTAGTGCCTACAGTGTGTCTCAAGGCTTAGATTCACATCACTGTGTTGCCCTAAAAACACATTCTCTGGATCATAATTTTTTTTGCAGAGGACAAGTAAAGAGCTTTGTTTTTGCAGCAGTGCAATTCTACACTCTTCACATGATTAACACGAAGCTCTCATCTCATAGATAAATTTTGATTTTGTTTATTCTTTGGAAATACAGATCCTCAAAGAACTTTCTGGCTTTTTAAAAATATTTTTTTTAGATGTCGATGGACCTTTATTTTATCCATTTATTTATATGTGGTGCTGAGGATTGAACCCAGTGCCTCACACATGCTAGGCAAGTGCTCTAACACTGAGCCACAACCTAGCCCCTGTTTGGGCTTTTTTAGAAACACAAAATAATACATGGAAAAGTCCCAGTCAGAAGGGACATACATATAGCATCATGTTTCTAACATTAATAAATCACACAGCAAAGAAAGCAGTTAAGAATGTGAAAAGAATCTATAGAATAGGTGAAAATTTTTGCTAGCTACTCTTTTGACAGAGAATTAATATCCAGAAAATGTAATGAACTCAAAAGACTTAACACCAGTAAAACAAATAACCCAATCCATAATAGGCAAATGAACTAAACACATTTCTCAAAAGAAGAAATACAAATGGCCAACAAATATATTAAAAAGTATTCAACATCTTTAGCAATTAAGGAAATGTAAATCTAAAGTACACTGAGATTTCATCTCACTCAAGTTAGAATGGCAGCTATCGAGAATACAAGTAATAATAAATGCTGGAAAGGACGGGGGAAACAGGAACATTTTTACACTGTTAGTGGGACTGTAAATTAGTAAACCACTATGGAAATCAGTATGGAGTTTCCTCAAAAGACTAGGATTGGAACCACCATATGGCTCAGGGATATTACTTCTCTATCCTAAAGAATTAAAGGCATTTTCATGTCTGTAGCACTCAAATTATGGAACCAGCCTAGGTGTCTATCAGTGGGTGAATGGATAAAAAAATGTGGTATATATACACAATTGAGTTTTATTCAGCCATAAAGAAGAAAGAAATTATGCCATCTTCAGGAAAATAGATAGACCTTGAGAGCATTATGTTAAATAAAATAGGCCAACATTTGAAAGTCAAGGGTTATATGTTTCCTCTCATATGTGGAAGCTAGAGAGAAAAAAGGAAAAGAAAGGTGAGGAGGGATCTCATGAAAATGGAAGGGAGACCAGTAGAGTAGAGGAAAGGACTCAGGGGGAAGGAGAAGGAGAGGGAGAGGGAAAATACTGGGGAATGATATTGACCAAATTATATTGTTATAGCATGTACATGTATAAATATATCACAATGAATCCCACTATTATGTATAATTATAATGTGTCAATAAAAATATGGGAAAAAGTAAACTAAAAAACTTATTATTTAGTTAAGAAGTAGTTTGGCTTAGGCCTGATTGCATTGGGATATAATTTGAGGGTATGTAATGCAAAATAAATCCTTAAGCAAACATTCAAATATATACTTATTCGGTGCTGCCTATGAGCAAATTTCCATGCTGAAATGTTTTAGGGAAAAATGTATGCCATAGAAGCAATGGAACTCTTTCTGATTTTAAGGAACTCAGTTGAACATGGAAAAGATATACGAATAACTAACTTTCCTGAGATTGAGGGATCAGACCTAAAAAAATAAAAGTATAAACCAAATGCTAAACCAGTATGGAGAATGTGAGATTAATTTAAATAAGATAATTTTGGGAGAACTCATGAAGATGATATTTAGGATGGGATTGGATGATTTGGTGCCAGCCTGAGGGGCACAAATGAAGGGAAAGGGAATTTAAGGCCAAAGATATTGTATGAGCAAAGTTCAAAGTATGATTTTTCTTTTTAGGAATGGCTAGTCACTCCACATGCCTGAATTATACTAGTTAACTTTAGTTGAGTGATTACTTTACACAGGGAAAATTCTTCCCATTTTATATGTATTATCTGATCTAATTTTCAACTAAAGTCAAGAGGGAGACACTATTATTAAGTCGATCGTGTACATAAGGAAACTGAGTCATAGAAAAGTTAAGGGATTTACTCAGGATCCCAGAGCTATATAGTAGTGGAGCCAGGATTGAAGTCTGCACCCATAACCACCCTACTTTACTATATACAGTACAGGGCAAGTTGCATTATAACCAAAGAATGGAGGGACTTCTGGGCCATCTTGAAGTGTTGTAATTTCTAACAACTACCAAGGGACGAGAAGGAATTTCTATTTTTTTTTTAATTTTGAAAGGCAAAAAATAGTTAAAAACTTTCTCTATTATTAATGAACAATTGATTATCTTGAGCTACACTATTCAACAGAGTATCCCATAGCTACATGTAACTATTGAGCTTTCAAAATATTGCTAGTGCAAATTGAGGTGTGTTGTGTGTACTAGATTTTTAGAATTTCATATGACAAAAGTATGTGAGATATCTTATTTTTTAAAATTATTTTTAGTTGTAGATGGACACAATACCTTTATTTATTTTTTTATGTGGTGCTGAGGATTGAACCCAGAGCCTCACTAATAAATAAATAAATATGTAAAATGGGGCTACTAGATAATTTAAATTTACCTGTATAACTTATATTATAATTCTAGTGGGCAATGTGGACCTAGAGCAATTTGAAACTTGTGGTGGATATTTTACTAACCAATTCTGATGAAGGACTTCCTCACACATTGGTTTTTTTAACCATATTCTTTCCTTGCTTTTTGGTCATTTGCAAGAAAAATTTAAAAAGGCTTCCCCTTTGTAAGGTTTGAGAGGCCCTAGAATTTCCTTTTTCACTTGTTCCCAACCACAAACAAATGATCAATGTGCCCTGTGGATGAGGAGTCAACATTTTACAAGGGTAAAAAGGGGGGAATAAAAAAAAGGGCAAAAATAATTTCCAGTCCCTGAATGGCGTGAAGTAAGAGTGCTTTCAAAGGATCCCACAAGAATGGCACAGGTGGGCACAATGGGTCTGTCTCATCGTCAAAGGACCCAAGAAGTTGAAAGGAAACTCTAACTACAACACCAAAATGCCACAAACCATAGTTATTAATACAAACGAATAAGCATCCCTGCCTATCTGTCACCATCTCATCTTAAAAACTTGTGAAAATACGTAATCCTGATGAGACTTCAATTAGGTATAAATACCAGCAGTGAAAGGAGATGCAGTATATTGTTCTGATCATCTCAGATCAGCTATTAGGAAAGGAAGATCAGCCAAGTCCTTTGGACCTGATCAGATTAATACAGGAGCTACTGATTTCAACGTCTTTGGCCTAACTCTCTCTGAAATGATGAAATACACAAGTTATTTCTTGGCTTTTCAGCTCTGCATCATTTTGGGTTCTTCTAGCTGTTACTCCCAGGACACAGTTAATAAAGAAATAGAAGATTTAAAAGGATATTTTGTAAGTATGACCTTTCAATAATACTTGTTTGTGGTTGAAAATAACTGAATGTTTGACTTGTACTTGTGTCTGATAGACTGTGATCTCTAGTTCATAATCATTTTGAGAAGATGTGGTACTTTGTTAATTGTTGGAGGATGTTTCTTGACTAAATAATTTAGATTTTGCTTTAACCTCCTGCTCAATTTGCTATAGAGACTTAGAGGGGATACATGAACATGAGTCTTCCAAAAGATAGGTATAATATGAGTACTAAGCATATCTATATTGATAATTTTATGATGAGAATATTCTCAAGGATTTTGATTTTGTTTTGTGCTGGGGATTGAACCCAGGGCCTCGTGCATGCTAGGCAAGTGCTCTACCACAGAGCTACATCCCAGCCCACTAAATTGTAATAAATCAAGCAATGTCCGTATCAAAAAATGATTGGCTATTAGTTTCTGATTTCTCAAACTATTATGAGGATGACAGTAAAAGGTCAAAGTTAGTATTAAAAGTAGTAATAGAAAGCTATTAGTTAAAATTAAAGAAGGTGAAGTTCTTAAAAATTTGGCTTAAAATGTCACTTATAGAGGTTTTCTTTTTCCAAAAAGTGATTTCTGAATTCTGTCACTCCACTTAACTTATGAATTATTCCTTCAGTCAGTAACTAACTGAGACTTTGTTGAAGTTACTATTCTGGCTTAGGAGTTTTTAAATTTTTTGGTTTATGAACATTTAAATTCTTATTTATGATTAGTGAAATTTTTTTGGCATTTTAAATAATTTATTATTTCTCCCCAAATTAGCTATTGTAATTATTGTTATTACAATGCTCAAACATTCACAAATGTTTTATTCTTGCAATGTAAATAAGATCTCTCTGTCTCTCTGTCTCTCACACAAACATATATTTACAGAGGTTTTAAAGCTGACATAATAAAACTGTATAGGAGGGCACAGGTAGATGTTATAGACAACTATACCAGAGGGGGGCAGTATACTATAGTGTGACAACTGCAGATTTTTATTTTTATTTATTTATTTTTTAACCAGGCTTGAAAATACTTTTAGGACAATATATGGACTAATTATCAATCAATTTTCCTCTCTTTTCTCAGAATGCAAGTAATTCAAATGTATCAGATGGCGGGTCTCTTTTCTTGGATATTTTGGATAAATGGAAAGAGGTAAACTGAACATTACGATTTGGATGATTTTTCAGTTATTTATTTTCTGATGGATAAACTAACATCATCCTATCTTTGTGCTCTTTTCTCCCAAGGAGAGTGACAAAAAAGTAATCCAGAGCCAAATTGTCTCTTTCTACTTCAAACTCTTTGAACACTTAAAAGACAACAAGATCATCCAAAAGAGCATGGACACCATCAAGGAGGATCTTTTTGCTAAGTTCTTCAACAGCAGTATCAGTAAGCTGCAGGACTTCCTAAAGGTGTCTCAAGTTCAGGTGAGATGATTTCAATTCTTTATTTCATTGCAGGGGCTTTTGCAGAGTGTTTAATTCTCAGAAAGTAGAAATTAGCTACTTAACAGTTGGCTATATCTATGATTTAAACCTCTGGCTGAAACTCCTCCTTACTAATTCAACGCATCCTTTGGGTAACTGTAAAATCAGTATGGGAATCATTTAAATGTGTCATTTGGAGAAACACAGGCAATAAAACTATTACACAAGGACAGGTGAACAGATAAATCCAGAGAGCCGGAAGTAGGTGAAGACACAGAGAGGAGCATGGAGAAGCAGGTCTCTCTTTGCACCTTGTTTATGCGATGGAAATTCTCTTACTTTGGATGGGAGGCTGTTTGTCTTAGTGGAAAGACACGTGGGAGGGAGTGAGAAGATATCTGTTCTCCTTCCAACTTGGCCACCAAGAAACTGTGACCTCAGATGAATCACATGCCTGGCTGGTGCTCCATTTCCCCATATTGAGAGGAACCTGCTAGGTTCACTACACAAGTTCTATGGTTTCCTTTGCTCTACAATTCTACAATGTTGTGGGTAGAAAATGAGAATGAGAGAGGAGAGAGATATAGCTTTTGAGGAGACACCATGTGACTGCAGTCTCTGCAGTCTCTGGTCAACATCTCAAGATTATGCAGCCTAACTAGAAGTGAGACTATTCGCTGCTTGTTTTTAGTGGGGGAAAAGGGATAGAGTTTACACCTTCTGAAAGGATTGTTTGATTAACTTTCATATACTAAAATATCTCAGCTGGAGAAATTCTTAGGCTCTGAAGTGTTATCTATGAGGTTGTCTTGGATCTTTAAATTATGGTAATTTTAAGGCAAAAAGACAACTTTAAAGCATAAAGACAATCATGTTTCCCCAAATTTTATCTAGAAGACAAAGAGGTCAGGATCCTTTGGTTTTGGATTTAATATCAATTGTCTTGAGTGAGAGGGACTGAAGTCTTACTATGAGTTCTGCTCTTAGGATTTGTGCCCAGTTTTCACAGTGCTTGGGTCTGCCTCTCACTCAATTCATGTAGCTCCCAGTAACCGGAAGGAGAGATGGAACCAATTTTCTTTGGGCCATAGACTAGAGATTGAGGAAGCACTTGTTCCTAACCCAGTGCCATCCTGGCTTGTTTAATCTTGAATCTAAGTCTCTTAGATTCTTGGTGATAGCTTCAAAGCTGAAAACTTTTGAATTTTTATTTTTTGCCACTATAATGCACAGGTGGTAGAATTTTTTTTTTTCTACTCTTGTAACTGGTCCTTGAGAAAGTGAGAAAAATGTCTGGGTTTCATCCTTCTAGGCTCTTCAAACCTCCTGATTCATGATGGGCAATACTGAGTGAAATCTTAACCTCTGTCCTCTTGTTCAATTGTGAACATATTTTAGGCATGTTATGTCCTTTAATAATTAATCTGGAGTCTAGAAACCCCCTAGTCACTCTTGAGAATAGTGTTTCCAGCATTAGAAAGAAACAGAGTGACACAGAAAAGATGAAAATAAATGGTCCTCATTTTATTAATTATAAAATCGTCCACATGGCTCTATTGGTTAGATTGAAGAAAATCAAATAGTGCAATCTGCTGGTGTAGAAGTCAGGGTATAGCAAAAGTTGTTGCAAATCCTAATTTCAAATGTTCTATATCAGCAAGTCATTTATTATCATATGAGCATGAGTGGTGTTTATTTTTAATCTCATTCTAAATTTAAAATTATAGTTTTCATCTGTTTTGAACTTGGTGTTTTACAAAGGACTTAACTTATATCAGTGGCTCTCACATTGTGGTTAGTTTCAGAATAACCTGGGGAATCAGTGACTACACAAGAGCAAGTCTCTGAGCCTAGTCTCTGAGTTCTTTATTAGGTCTCCAGGTCAGCCTGCTATACACCCAGGGTGAAAGGCTGTGTCTTATAGGAACTCATCTGATATGTACAGCAAAGACTGATCAAAGTGTGAGGTGACAGAATTGGTAGACTAAAGGTCAGCTCAACAATCTCTGCTGGTTAGATGAGGAAACAGAGGTTTAAAGAGGTTAAGAAACTGGCTCAAAGTTAGAGATACTACAGATGCAGGATTTATTACCTCCTTTTCTTTTTAAGTACTCCAGGTCTCTTTTCACTAAATAATTTTGAGAATTCTGTAGCAGTAAAGTTAGAGATATATGATGTAACCCATAATAATTTTGCACAACTATCAATTCAGTTTTCTTTTAGCCTTAATGGTGGAAGAAGTTAATAATGTAGATTAAGATACTATATTGTTATTCAGAATCACCTTTTTAAAGATGAATAATTTCATTTTCACTATGATGTTAAAAGGAGAAAAACCTGATGGCTTGTATGCCTGAAATTAATTTTGCTGTTTTCTTTCCCATTAGGTAAATGACCTGAAGATCCAGCGTAAAGCAATGAGTGAACTCAAGAAAGTGATGAATGATCTGTTACCACACTCTACCCTAAGGAAGCGAAAAAGGAGTCAGTCTTCGATTCGGGGTCGGAGAGCATCCAAATAACAGTCCTCATGCCTGCAATATTTGAATTTTTAAATTGAAATCTATTTATTAATATTTAACATTATTTATATGGAAAATATATTTTTAGTTTCATCAAATAAGTATTTATAGTAGCAACTTATGTAATGAAAGAATATCTATGTATTATTAATTATATGTATTATTTATAATTCCTGTATCCTGTAACTGTCTCACTTTACCCTTTATTTTTTGAAAAATTAGGCAAGAATATGTGATTAAAAGACTTTATCTCAGGGACCAACTAAACAGCTGACCTAAGTTAGACCCTGTGGGTTGTGCATTTATTCAGACAAAGAACACTTATAAACGAAATAGTACCATCTAGTTGTTGCCTATTTGAGAACATGTCTGCATTCTGAGCCACTGCTTTAATGGCACATCAGATAGCACTTGAATGTGTCAGGTGATATGACCTGTGCCCTGATAAACTCAGCACCTCAGGAGATTTCACACTTGGTGCTTCTGAATATTGTTGACAACTGTGACTGCACCCAAATGGAAAGTAACTCACTTGTTCAGTTTATCCAAATCTAATATATCTGAATAAAGCATAATTTCGCAACTATTCATGCTGTATTAGACTTATTTCTAAGTGAGGACTGGGGTGGTTGAACTGCATACTAGTTAACTAGAAGGGAGAAAGTCCTTTTTAGCTGTGAAAATCTTAGAGTACCATTGGGCCCCATCAAATGTGGTATTTCTCTCCATTGAAAACTTGGTTGATTTTCATTGTTCCACTTGTTTGAATGATCTTCGCAAGATATAGGTTTAAGTTTGTCACCATTCAATTTAGTTTCTGCTATGGAAAGAATCTGCTCAGTGTGGTACACAGAGATTTATTCTATTCCATCTTCCACCTCCTCCCCTTTTCCTCATATTGGTATCCCCTCCCCCATCTACCATAGGCAAATACTGTTGGGTGTGGAACAGTGAGTGTTAGTTCTAAGGAGAGAGATCTAGATTAGAATTTGGGTTATGTCATTGCAAGTAGCATGACCTTTCATGAATTATGTAAATTTCAGCTTCTTTGTCTGAAAAAGAGAAATAATTGTGTCTTCTTCCTAATATCATAGCTGAGAGTTCATTCTATCACTACAAAGTATTTCCTGGGGCACACACTATGTGCCTAGGTGCTTTATATACCTTAGTCAACAAAACTAGACAAGAATCTCTGCTCTTGTGGAATTTGGAATTGAGCAAAAGGGAGATGGACAATAAACAAAATACATACTATGTAAGTAAATTGCATGATATGTTAGAAAATGATTGATGCCGTGGGATAAAAATACAAATAGAACAGGATGGGGAATTAGGAATAATGTAAGTTGGGTGGGTGAGTGGTCAAGAGGCTTGAATAGACTGATTATAGTTGATCTCATGAAGAGAAAACATTTGAGGAAGCATCTTTAAGGGAACATCCCATTTGCATTCCAGGCAAGAGGAATATTCTTGCAAAGACTATGAAGTAGAAAATTATCTGGTGGTAAAAGAAAAACCAGCAGACCAGTGTGGTGGTCCCAAAACATGGAAGAGAAAAATAGCCATCACTCAAGGAAGATGCAGGGGAAGGAAGCAGTGTCCTTAGTGGAGAGCCTCTCTAACTTGTGTAGGAGGAAGTTGCAGATATGATGAATTTGCTTAGTTTTCAACTATGAATTTCAGATGACCCAGTAAGTTGATGTATAATAGGTCATAAAAGGAAATGTACATGGGAGTGTGTTGTGAGTTTGGACTTCTGACGAAAACTGACATAAACAAAGAAAATAGATATAATAAAATGATTTTTGGTGGCTTTGGGACATAGTGGTGACAAATTGAGAAAAGTTAGGTATCTGGAGCTTCTTCTCAACAACTTCACTTAACCCTCCCACAATAGCGGGATTAAGTGAAATAGTTCATGTGAAGCAATAATTTTAGTATTTGACAATAATCAGTGTTATATTGATTACTGGATAACTAACTGTTCATGAGAGTGGATTCCAAAGCTTTTAAGTCTTTGAAGAGGCAAGATAAAAAACTTTAGGTTAATTTTGGCATAACTTTAATTGACATGAGATGATGCTGGGGTCTCTCCTCTTATTAGTGTAAGATTGATTGATGCAGACTTTAAGATACGTATAGATGGAGAGCTGCTGTGAGATTGTCTCGTCTGGACTATAGAACCAGATCATACCTCTGGGGAAGGGAATTAGAAATTCTTGCTCTCAATCATTTTGGGAAGAAATTAATGATGCAGTAGAAAATGGAATACCAGAAGGCATTAATTTAGGGCTAGGTAAAATTTCTCCTTCTTCCTGCAGTTGGTATCAGTTTGACCCAGACTCTGAGACATGAAGAGATATAAATTGTTTTCTGTGGTGTCAATGGTTGCAGAGAGTAAGACAGGGAGCAGTTTCTTTAGGAGAACTTGAATTGAGACTGGCCTATGAAAGAGTTACAAAATATTCTCTATATTATATGTGCTTTTTAAATGTACACACCTAGTCTCAGAAGTGTTGTGGGTGTTTACAGGAAGAATAGACTGTGATTTAAACTAAGATTTAGACAGGAAGAAGAGACTGTGATTTAGACTATGATTTAGATTTTTACACCAATTATTGTCAAGGACTAAAATTTAGACTAAGGGATCTTGGGCATGGCAGTGGTTCTTCTCCCAGTGCCAGCAGAGGCAAGCCTTTCCTTAGTCTCAAGAACATTAGAGGCAGCAGCTAAGGCCTGGATTAGGAGAACTGTACTGTTTAAAGTCCCATCCTAATGACTCTCATAGATAGCAGATATGCCCTTGCTAGTGGGGTGGTTTTTTGGTGATTAGATGACTGAAATTTGAGTATTAAATATCAATGGATTTCCCTCTTTTTTCTCCCTCTTTTCTTCACTTTTCCTTTCCCATAACTTCCCATTCTGAATAATATAATTCAGATTAAATTAGGTGCATCAGAGTAAGGTAGGCATCTACAGTTGAGCAGTGTTAGGAGTCAAATTCTGAGTGCAGTATGAAAGGTGGACATGCCGGGCAAAACCTAGTGTGGAAGCTGTTAGAGCCTGAGCACAAGGAGAGTGTGCAAGAAGGGCTGGGAGAGCATATTAGTTTTCCACTGTGTTTGTAGTAAGTGACCACAACTTAGTTGCTTAAAACAACTTACATTTGTTATCTGATAGTTTTGGATGTCAAAAGTCCAAAACCAGACTCAGTGGGTTAAAATCAAGACATTGGCAGAGTTACATTCTTTCTGGGGCTCTGGGGAGAATCTGTCTCCTCGCCTTTTCCAGTGTCTGGAGGCCGTGCCCATTCATGCTCTTTCTTCAAAGCCAGCAGTGTAGCACCTTCCAATCTCTCTTCCTCTCTTCCTCTCTGGCTCTGATATTCCTGCTTCCCTCTTATAAGGACCCTTGTAATTATATTGAGACCACTTGAATAATTTAGGATAATATCTATCTCCATTTCAAGGTTTTTAACTAAAGTACACCTGAAAAGTTCCCTTTTCCACATAAAGATATATTCACAGATTCTGAAAATTAGGATGTAGATATCTTTAGCTAGTCATTACTCTATTTATCATAAAGAGGCAACCTGACAAGAGTAGTCAGCACTTGAGCCAAACGAGGTTGCCACACTGAAGAACAGCCTGGAGTGGGTGTTATAATGGAGATATGCCAAAAGATGTTCCTATTGGCTAAACATGGAAAAATGTATGCATCAGAGTAAATAATGATAGCAACATTATTATAACCTGTTGAATATGAAAGGAAACCCAAAGTATATAATAAACTAAAAGTTGGATGAAGAATGGGATATTTACATAGCTTTGCTTTCTCACTATACTTACTAATCTCAAATTGGAAACGAGTAACTTTATAGTGGAGAAGCCTTGCAGACAACATCATCTCAATCAACGAGTAAAAGTGAACACTGTTAGTAATGGGGTAAATGAAAATGATGTGCTACTTGGTAGGATGCCATGACATGAACATAACTCACTCTCTGTGACATCCCTGTGAAAGATGTAGAAACTTTTAATTGTGAGAAAACATGAGGAACACACTACAAAGTGGTCTGTAGCTTTCAGAGTATCAACATCATGCAAGTTAAGGAAAGAATGAGGAATGAGGAACAGCTGCTACGGAAGTGGATTATAGACATAGAACAATTACATGCAATATAAGTTTCTGAAGTTCATTCTTTTGCAATTAGAGGCATTTTTAGAACACTTGGTTCACTTAAATATGTCTGAAGATGATATAGGAGTAAAATATCAATGTAAACATCTTGATTTGGACTATGTGGGTCCAAATGGCTATGTGGGAGATAGCTCTGCAGGTAGGAAATGCTCATGGACACATTCAGTGAGATGTGGCATCAAGGCAGCACTTACTCTGAGGTAGTTGAGGAGACATAAAGATTTTCCAACTCTCCTGTAAATCTGTGATTGTTTCAAAATAAAAATATGCAGAAGTCACCATGAAATTATTTCATAGTTGCAGGCTGCTAAGGTCTAAAATTCTTGAGATTCATTATTTTCATTGCAATCACAACAGTTAATTTAGAATTTCCCAATAGGGTAGGTTAAATTTTCTAAAGTTGACCACACATATTTATTCACCTTATTCCTATGCTTTCTGTACAATATAACTGACACCTGACAGGTAGGGGATATCCTTCTCTTTAATAGTAGAGTGGAGTGGTTGGAAGTGAAACTGTTCCACTTCTAAGTCAACAATGCAGCTTCTGCCTGGTTTTCTTTTACTCCCCCCCCCCCACCCAACATTATTGTACTTCTGATTCTGTCATTATATTGGGAGGTTCATACTGTATGGGGAAGCCACATGTGGATAGTTTAGCCAACAGTCTCAGAGAGGCTTCCAGCCAACCTAGCCTCAATCATCATATTGATATGCATGAATTCCCCTTCAGATGATTCTGGCTCCAAGCAATTTTCTACCTATTGCCTCAGTCATCCAAGTTTCTTATGATTAAAAAAAAATCAGACTAATTTCAGCTCTAATATATACAGTATAGAAGTTGTTACTTCAATATATTCTTAAGACAAGAATAGATTGGAAAAAATGAAAAACAATGATGTTTCTTAG